TTTTTTTTTTTTTTTTTTTGCTTTAGACAATTCGATCGTTCTTATCTATAGTATTATCTAAACTATAAAGACCAGAAAATTCTTTTTCTTCCGAGTTGCTATTTCATAGAATTGGTTATTCTATTTACTATATACTCATAGGGGCCTGAATGGCCGAGTGTCTGGCGCTCGGTACCACATGTTTCTGGTTCGAGTCCCGGCGGTGCCATGGTTGTTTGTAGTGGTTCTGAATCCACTTTAAAAAGTAGGTCCCGGTCCTAATAGGATCGTAGAGCTTTGCGGGGGCATTGTTATTCCTCGTCCGTGGCTTATCTTCAAGTCACATGCACCCCTGGGTAATGCAAAGTGAGTACGTTTGTGCAGCGCTTGCCTTAAGGCATCCAAGACCAAGCTGTCTCAGTGTTTGCCAGCTGCATTAGAACAAAAAAAAAACTGTATACTCATACACTGTTTTCTAAGAAACAATGGCGTACATTGTCGGCAAATCTTTAAAGTCGGTAACTTATTTTTCTTCGAGCTATAAAGGTAATTTGTTTCAAATGATCGAGTTATAAAAGTCGTAAAAACGATTGTAACATCAAACATTGCTAATGATCGAGATACAGAGGTCCAATTTTTTATTCGAGTTACGGAGGGGAAATATATACCAAAATGGCTTGTGGGGATTTACTAATTATTTCGACATATAGAGGGTTGAAATTTTGAGTAATGGAGGTTTTGGGGCACGAAGGGAAGGGAACAAAAAAAAATTTCGAATTGTGGAGGTTTTCGACTTAAAGAGGTTCTGCTGTATTAACAAATTAAAGGCAGCAACATGCAAAAGGAATGTAGAGATTATTTAGGCTTAATGAAATTAACATTCTAGTAATTAAATGCACAAACAGCAAATTATATAAACATAAAATAAAATATTAACAATAAATATTAACAAATTATGGATTTAAGATGAAGATGCTGAAGCATTAGGAAATTAGACTTAAATTAAATTTAGATTTAGTGAAATTAACATTCTAGCAATTAAATATACAAATATATAAATAAAATATTAAATATAAATATAAATTATTATTAAACTTATTTTATAAGGAATAGTTAGTATAAAAACTAGACCACAAATATTTTGCAAGGTTGAGAAAGTATGCACTAGTCAAAAATAAAAATAAAAATGACATTGAAAGTTGAATTCTTCATCGTCCTTTCATAATCGCTAATTTAGCTCAAAACTGAGATTTAGAGCCAGGGACATTAGATTCCCGGCAGATTCTACAAAAGTATAAGCATGTCGCCAAATATCTATTTTTGAGCCAAATTGACGGTCACCAAAAAGCGATAGTAGTAGGTCTGGCAGTTCATGCGACGGAAGTGACGTCATAAGAAAAGTTTGGTTCGGTTTGTCGCTCTAAGGTCATCTTGTGCACACGAGGGCTAAACAGACCGGGATCTACCAAACATCCATGCCACCGTCAGGATTCGAACCTTCACAAGAAAAGAGCGATCAACCAGAAGTGACATATGTGAGGGGCCGTCTTGGTAGAATTAGAGATTTTCCTTGAAATTTCTTTCCAGTGGCAACATCGGAATATCGTACTATAAGACAAAGATTTTTTGAGGAATATGAAACTTTTTTTAATTGAATTATTTTGAAAAATTTATTTGGTAAAGGAATTTATTTTTATTATTATTATTATTATTATTATTTTTTTTTTTTTTTTTTTTTTTCCAAATTTCTTTTATTTTACAAATGATTTTTAGTTTTAATTCCTATATTTGTTACATTTTACAAAATTTATTTGGTAAAGAAGTTCATTTATTTTTATAAATTTGATTATACTTAGCTTAAATTTTTTAATCCAATTGTATACAAAATTTATTTTTTGATAAAGGAATTTATCTATTTATTTTTCTTTTTACAAATTTATTTGGTGAAAAAATATATTTTTGTTTTTTTTTTATTATTTATTAATTTTTTAAACAGTTTTTATTTATTTCAATTTGACTTATAAAAAAAAAATTTTTTTTTCAATTTTACAATATTATTTTTATTATTATATTTTTCAAATTTATTTTATTTTACAAATAATTTTTATTTCAGATTTTATTTTACAAAATTTATTTTGGTAAAGGAATTAAGATATTTTTTATTTATTTATTATTATTATTATTATTATACAAAATTTATTTTTCTTTTTATGCACGTTTCATTTTTTTTTATTTCGATTGTATTTGTTATATTTTGTAAAATTTATTTTGATAAAGGAATTTATTTATTTTTCAATTTATAATTTTTCCTCGTTTGTGTTCCAAAAGTTATTTTTGTTTTCACAAATTTTCTTTTATTTAAAGATAATTATTTCAGCAAAGAATTTTTTTCTTTTTTTTTTAATGGGATTCGTTAAATCAATTTTATTCCGTCTAAATCAATTTACAGTTTGTTTTTTCCTAGTACATTACAATATTTTTTTTTATGAATTCGCAAATGCGATTCCTTGTCAATTTCCAAATTCGATTATTTGTCAATCGCATTTGGAAATCTAATTCCTGATTGTAATTCAAATTTTCATATGTTGTTCAAAAATAGAACTGTTATATAAAAATCTGGGTTAAAGATATATCAAAATTAGGAAATTTGTAGAGATTTTAATGAATTATTTTGTCCGAAACCCTCTTAAAATTGAAGGAGATCAACATGAATTTTGGCTTAAAATTTAAAATCTGTAGTCAGATTAGACCAGGAATGGGCAAACCACGGCCCGCGGGCCAACTCCGGCCCACCGGAAGGTTTTATCCGGCCCGCGGATGGAATTTTAATTTGCCGGTCCGAGGCAAATTAAAAGAAATATATAATTTATATGTTATATATCCATCGCCGATTTATATATTATATATCCAACGATTCAAAAATGCAATTATTTATAAAAATAAATTTTTAAGCCAAGTTAATTAAATATTACTAATTTTAATAATAAATAATTGTAATTTTTATAATAAATCTTAATAGTTAATTAATTCATAATTTTAAGTTAATTACTATTAGTTTTCATTATTAATAATTTAATTATTATTTTTTTTTTTTTTATTGTTTAAACAAATTGCCTAATATTTAAATTGTTATGAATCAGTCGTCAATTTTTACAAAAAAAACTTCAGAAAAATATGAAATAAAGAATGAAAAAGAAGTTAAAAATTAACTTTTAAAAGTCTTAAATTAAAGGATTTTTTTATAAAATTATATATCCATTTCTTTTACCAGATTTATTAAATGTAAAATTAGATTTATACTTTTAAGAAGTTAAAAATTCTTTATTTTGATAAAGCTGTAAGAAAAAATTATGTCAAATTATTTTGATTTTTTTATTTTTCTTATATGGATTTCGATTCGTAATTTGTAAAAAAAAAATAATTATTGAAAGACAAATTATCTTTAAAAAAGTTCAGAGTTTGTATCTACTTATTTCATAATTGAAGATTCTTCTTTATAAATATTGATGATAAAAAGATTTATTATTATAGATGCTCTATATATTTTAACATTTGTTGTATTTAGACGTCTAATAAGACAAATAGTTGTCAACTAATGTCCTGCGTTTTTTTACTGCTGATGGCGTCTCAAGAAAATTCGGCACTTAAATGATCCACTTGTTGAATATATAAACTTGACAATAAGGATAGGTGGTTCAAATATTTTTAGTGATTCGTATCTCTTGAATAAATTTTAAAGATCCGTATCAAAGAAAGTTCCACATCGTGGCGTCATCTATCATCTATCAGAAACACTAATAGGTTAAAATTATTTTTTGTGAGTAGATATAACTATTTTTATACTCGCAAAAGAATTTTAAACACATTTCCAAAGATACATTCAAAAATATACGCCTAAAATTATCTACAATAACTATTTCACATAACTGTGTTGACTTTAAAATAATTTAAAATTTTATGAATATTTACAAATTGTAAATTATTCACCACCATGCATAATTTTTCCACTTCCTCACTACATTTTTTTTTTTTTTTTTTTAATTTTTAAAAATTGGTGAATTTTTCTCTACAACTAATCTATATATTTTATGTCATCTTTTAATCATCTTGTAAAATATGAAATCTTAAAATTTATTTTTAATAAAGATTTATAAATTAGCTGTAGTCTATAATTTGAAAATTAAAAGCAGTTTTTTATTTCCGAATTATTGTTTGAACTGAAATTTCGTTAGTTGCATTCTTTTTCTACAGAATATCTGCCATTGTGTTGTATCTAGAAATAAAATTCTCAAAAATAAAATTTGTTATTTTTTTTAAAAATGAATATTATTTATGATATTATCCATTATTTACTTATACGTAGTTGTTCATTTTCCTCTTGAATGGCATACCGGGTTTCTTTATGCTAAGTAACAAATTTCTATTTTTTCAAAACTTAGATTCATATAATTTTAAATTTAATTTTAAAAATAGAAAAATTGCTTATGTGAATAGAAATAACTTATATGTATACTATAAGCATTTTTTTTTCTTACTCAATCTAAACTAGTATATTGTTTGAAATTTTTAAATTTTAATTGGTTTTTTTATACTATAATATATTTAAAATAATATTTCAATTAAACAGCATAGTTTATGAAAACATAACATGTCCAACATAATTCAAAGAACAATTTAATGTTTTTCTATTAAACTATTAAATAACTATTCTTACTTCAAGAAATTTATTTAAAAATTATTCAATTTTTCTGTTAAAAAATATTGATTACTAAAATTTTTTAAAAAATCGAAACTGCGCGAATGATAAAGAAAATTACTTGTCTTTGAAAATAATACAAAATGTGTTAACAAATATATCCATTATTGAAATGCAAAAAAATAATTAATTTTAAAATTCCATTGTAACTCTAATTTTCTTTTTAATTTTAATGTATAGTAAAATAAAAAAATTTAATTTAATACAGTGTTTGTTATTCAATAAATTCATTACAATCCTATATTATGTATAACACTTACTGTCCTTCTCGTTAGATCACCGAAGTCAAGCATCATTGGGCGCGGTCAGTACTTGGGTGGGTGACCTCCTGGGAACACCGCGTGCCGTTGGCATTCACATATTTGGGACCTGAATGGCCGAGTGTCTAGCGCTCTGGCGCTCGGTGCCACAGGTTTCGGGTTCGAATCCCGGCGGTGCCATGGATGTTTGTAGTGGTTCGGAATCCACTTTAAGCCGTAGGTCCCGGTCTCCCATGACTGTAAGAGCGTCACGGAGCAAAAGTCAGACTTCTACCTACGGGTGCTCCATCACAACAGAAGCTGCTTCCTTCCCCTTCAATCATGAGTATGTATGTGCTCGTGGGCTTGGCCTAGAAATGTCTGCCAAGTGGGATAAGAAACAACAACAACACTTACTGTCCTTTGGCTAAGTTATAACAATTAAGAAGGGACATCATAATATAATCCAATGTTAATGTTTGTTATTCGTTTCGTTATTTGTATACCAAACAGTATAGTATCAGTATTTCCGGTACCATACAGTATGGAATCCGTATTTTGAGTACCATATGAACTGATATAAATTGTGTTGGATGCTGCCATGAAATATGATTCATACAATACAGAGTAATACTATTGATACTGATTCGAAAACAAGTTATTAGATACAAATCATTTTAAGTAAATGATTCGTATCAAGTGTATTGACGTAATTAATCGTATCATTTTTACAGATCATATGGATTCGACCCATAATTGTTGGACAGTTGTTTAAGCAGCACGCTATAGAAACTTAACAAATGATCAGAAGAATACGTCCTTTAAACACAGTGTACCACTTAGCTTTGTATTCCGCAACAGGTCTTCTAAAATGTACTCCGATCCTTATTTTACACATAAAAGCCGGCTAACTTTCATTGTTTAAGAGGCAGTTTATGCTGGCAAAGCTTTTTTTCCCCCAAACAAATTTCTTTTGGTTCATCTTCTCCTCTCTATATTTATCTTAGATCTGGAAATCAATTCTTAAGGTTGAGACACCCCATTTCACTAAAAACCGTTTTTGCAAACCTTCTAATCAACTTAAACATCCGACATTCCAATTTAATCCACAATTTTCCACGAGCTAGTTGCCTTGATGACTTACCTTTTCAAAACAAACACTTACCCCACCCTGTCATTAAAAATCTCTTTGAACAAAATAAAGGCAAAGACGGTAAATGCAACATTATTTTGGGCTCTTATGCATTTAAAGCATATCTAAAATATTCAACAGACGTTATCAATGCCGTTTCCCAAGAGTTTTCATCAGGTCAGATTTCTAATTACAATAGTATTTTCCCAGATGAAGCCCTTGCACTGATTTTAATCATTTCGTCATACTTTCTGCCAACTCAAATCTATATAATCCTAAAATAAGTATTTCTGTTCTTCAAGCTTTAAAGATTTCAATCCCATCGAGTAATCAAACTTCTATGAAATCAACTAAATAGCTTAAACAATATTAGCTGAACTTAAACATAACTTTAATAATTGATTTCACCTAGACTCCGGGGTATGTCGACATTACAGAGAATAAACGAGAAGTCCATTTACAAAATCAGCAACAAACACCAACATTTTTCATTTGATATCTCCATAGGATCTTATTTTTTGGCAAAAAAAGAAAACACTACCAAATACAACAGGTGAATGGGTAAGCGGAAAATACGCTCAAGAATTCAATCATTTAAACTGTCTTAAACCTTCTCATTGACTGCTCCTTCCAAATCGAAAGGAAGATGCACTTCTTTCTAGATTTCTCACAAAAACTTACCCATCAAACCCTTAACTCCACAGATTTGGTCTCACTTCACCTCAATTGCGTGCGTCCTGCAAAATATCAGAAATCGTTGGACATATTTTGTTCAAATGTACGAAATATGAAGAGCCAAGAAATAAACTTCAAAGTGCTTTCGGGTACTTTTTCTTGGTTGTTCTATATGTCTGAGGATGCGTATTACAAGATTTTAACAATATTTCATTTTCTACAGAAATTCTCGTAGCATCGTTAGCAACGGAAAATTCACAAGTTCCAAAAGTTTTTTTTTTTCCTTTTTATAAAGCTTGTTATTCAATAATTTCATCTATTCATTTCTGCTTTATATTTATTCTGCTTATTATTTTTTTTTTGGTCGCCAGAAATACCGTGAAATAATTCTTTTCTTTCAAAATTTTATTTAAGACTCAACATGAGATCTATTAAATTTGAAAGATTATCATGGATCATTATTATTTGAAAGACTATCATGGATCCATGAATTTTGGGTTTTATAGTATTTTGATTATATTTTTTCGATCATTATCACAGTGTGTCTGTATTTTACTAGTATTTGGATAAATTGAAATAAAACATTAAATCTCAAAATCACAAGTCAAGTCAAGTCAAGTCTGAACTACTTGACAACATTCTTATGCCGAAGAGTTGTTTATTTTTTGCATCACATTTGTTGTGATATAAAAATATTTGGTCTATCGCATAAGTTTACTTCATTCAAGAAGTAATAACAAATTTACTGTACGAAAGAATTTATTTTTGAATTATAATTTTACCTTGTTATTGTATTATGGAAATTTTTATCTTTTGATTTATCATTATGACTGAGTCTTACCAAGGGCCCACGGCCCTTAATTTATCTGAAGATGCTGAAGAAATGGAAGACAAAGTTCATATAGTTCTACCTGCATCGAGATCTCAAGATCGTCAAGTAAATTAAAACAAATTATTTTATTCACGGTGTTTTTATACAAATTTGTAAATCTGATTTTAAATAATAGATAACAAAACAATTATATAATCGTGAACCACTGGCTTATGGTGTAAAAAAGTTATTTTTAAATTTTAAAAAATGTATAAGTGTATTCATATTCATTTTGAATTCAATAAAAAATATTTTATTTTACTTCAAAAAAATCATTTGTTCTAAATTTAGTTTTAATTTTGTATGTTTGTAAATTTAAATGTAGATAAATGTTTTGCTGCTGGAATCTTAACTAGCCAAATGAATTTCCACTGTTTAATAACCTATATCTTATTAATTTGATTTCAAGTTTCCTTTAAATTTACCTTAATTTTTTTTAAAATTTAATTTAAAATTTACCCTTTAATAACTTAACTTAAAAATAACTTTTAAACTTGCCCTTACATTTAATCAAAATTAACCTGCATATAATGGAATTAAAAAACTATTAATCGAAAACAAAACAAAAAAAAATTTCTTTGATTTACCAACAGCCAAATATGTATTCTTGAAATTATGGAATTAGTGTGTGTATTTTCAAAGTATGGCATTTAGCTGTATTTGAATAAATTTAATTAGAAATTTTAAAAAGTTAATTTTTTTAAATGTTTTATTATAAAGTATGATTAAATACATGATATGAATGGTTGTACATGATATTTTATTGAAGAAGAATGTCCTGAAATTTCAACATCATGTTTCTATGCCCTCTCATATGACTATTGATGAACTGTATATCTGTTCTATCTACTACCACCTATACTAGCTGCAGATCAACTAAAAATTACCCATTTAAAGTCAAAAATATTTTTTTTCAAATTGAAAACTAAAATTATTGTTAAAAAAATATTGTAAATGTAATATATTAACTATACATTTCTAAAAAAACAGTAAAGAGTCTACGTTGCATTCAACATTTAATCCCAATCTCATTTCGTACATAAATTTAACTGTTGTTTCCATTGCAAGGATTGTAACCCACAAAAAAAGATTATGAGCTGGAGGCATTCTAGTTATTAAATACATAAATAATTCATTATATGTTTTTGTAACATATAGAAGATTAAGAATTACAGCGTATTTTAAAAATTATTAGATTTAAAAGGATTATAAATGGCAATTATTAGAACCAAGATGTAATTAAAAGTAATTAAATCAATAATAATTTTTAAAATCACATTTCTAAATACTAAATGTTATATCTCCATATCATAGCAAATTTAATACTTATGTGTTATAATTGTTTTGAAAAAACTACCTTATAACTTCTCTTTCTTAAAAAGGCATACATAATAAAAATGTATTTTCTGAATTATTTTTATTTTGACAATGATAGTTGAATGCAACAAGAAAATTCATAAGTAAAAAATATAGCTCTTCATGTAATAAGAGCAGAGTGAGAAATAGAAGAGCAGTTACTTGATCATCATCCGTGAAAAACAGGCTATATTGAACTATTTGTCGACCCTTCATGAATGACCATTTGTTGTCAAAACAATGCATTACCGACCAACTCCATCTGTGAGGGAATCTCCTGGCATTATATATATAATTAAACTAAACTTTCAACATTTGCTTTCTTGTAAAAATTAAATACGATTGCTATTATGCATGCTCTTTTTAGAAAGGGAAGAGTTCTAAGATAGTTTTTTCGAAACAACTAAAACACATAAGTATTAAATTTGCATTGATGTGGAGATTTGACATTTAGTATTATGAAATGTGATTTAAAAAATATTTATTATAAAAAGCTGTTACAAAACATATCCTGTAAGAAAAAACAGTAGTTTTCTTCTATAGCAGCCTGGGCCTGAATGGCCGAGTGACTAGCGCTCTGGCGCTCGGTACCACAGGTTTCGGGTTCGAGTCCCGGCAGTGCCAAGGATGTTTGTGGGGGTTCGGAATCCACTTTAAACAGTAGGTCCTGGTCTGTTTAGCCTAAAGTGTGCATAAGATGACCGTAGAGCGACAAACAAACCAAACCAAACCAATCTATAGCAGCCTTGACCATTTGATATGGCACAATTCAGTTGTGGGATCTGTGGTCATGTGTTATAAACAGACATGGAAACATTAATGTTAAACAGCTGACCTTTTTCGAGACAATCTTAATTCATTGTTGTACAATTTTTTAAATGCTTACTCTGTTATTTATGTATTTTTCTTGAAGAACTTAATATTGTAAGTAAAATTTATTTTCCCAAGCGTTAATTAAATTATTTTCATTCTTAAATAGTGGGGAAATAGACAAAGGAATTTTTAACATTATTAAATGCAAGAAGTCCGCGATTGAATTATACCAACTGCTTACACTGATACCATCATGTAATATA